GTTGTTGTTTGCCAAAGTGTTGATGAGTGAACATTTACTGTCAGAATTGTTTCTTCACCACGATAAGGGGTGGGTGGTTGGAGGGCGCTCTGGTTTGGTTTGCTTCTTCTTTCCCATCACACATCTATCGTCCTTTTGTCTCCTTTTTTTCTTTGTATGGTAACACCTAATCTTTGAAGTGGGTGGTTGACGGATGCTCTGGTGTGGTTTGCTCCTTATGTCCTATCAAACATCTATCATCCTTATCTCTCCTCCTATTCTGTGTTTGTTTATCTCTTGTAACACTTCTAATCTTCAGCACTTATATGACCTTATTGTGTTGCAAGTGCCGTAAAACATTAAGGAAAAAAATCTTTGGCACTGAATTGACCACTTTGTGTTGCAAGTGTCGTAAAACCCATTAAAACTTTTAAAAATTGGAACCACGATTAGACCGCATGGATTCCTTTTTCAGAATGTGTATTGTTGGACACATGGTAGCTGCACTTGTGTGGTGAGCTCAATAATCAGGCTAATGTAAGACTGTTAAAGTGTGCCCAGTGGTATCAGGGCTTCATTTCACACCTCAATTGTGAATGGGTTTCACAAGCTCAAGGGTTGAAATTTTGAACATGTCAGGGAGGAAATTACTTTGAGCGTTTTGCTTTTTAAGGGCTCGCTCTTTTTTTCTCTCTTTTTCATGCTAAAGAAGCGTTTTTTCTTATGTTGGTGAATAAGCAATTGTGGGAGTAAATGTCTGAAACTTATTTTGGCAAATGAAAACTTTGGTTTGAGTTTTTGTATAGTGTATACTCTCAATGTTTTTGTACATATGCTATTGTCTTGTGCTCATAATGTTTTTTGTTTTTGCTGGAGGTGTTCACTTGTATTGCTATAGCTTCCTTTGCTGATGTTGCGCTGCTTTTCAACAGCTTGGGCTCTCAATGAACAGAGGCGTAAAAAAGGCGAGACCTTCCCCCCCGCCATGATGCAGAGCTCTAGTGGAGAAGATGGTGACTGCATTCTGCTTGATGCCTTGAGTGTTGTCTGTGTTGTTGGAGCTGTTGTTGTGGCTCTTTTGTGCACCAAAGCTTTCTTGTATAACTTTTGTATCGTTTTGTGACGCCATCTCACATAGCTCTGTGTCTTATCGTGATGTGTTGTATTGTTCCGCCTTCTTGTATAAATCTTGTGTTTTTATTGACTGCCTTCTTATATAACTGTGTCGTAATGTGATGCCTTCTTATATAATAGTGTCATATTGTGATGCCATCTCAAATAGCTCCGTTTTATTGTGATGTGTGCGGATGATTAGACAGTGCTTATGGTAGGTCCTACTTCTTTACTTTCCCTTTGTTTTTTTCTGTCTGTCTTACTTTTTCCCAACTCTGAATGACCATTACTGTGTTGACGTGCTTCTCTTTACTCAAACCAACAAACGAACAATTGTGATGCCTTCTTGTATAACTCCTGTGTCGTGTGGTGATGTTTTTATGTACAGATCTCCTGTAGGGACTGACGAAGCCTTCATGCATATTTCTGCTGTGTGCTGAAGCATTGTATTCGCATACTTCTGTGTTGTCCTACCAAACACTTGGGTATAAGTCTTTGTCATAATCAGTAGCCTTCTCATGTAAATCCGAGTCTTTTTGCGGAAACCTCACATCTTATCATACATCATATTAAGAACCCTTTTCTGAAAGATCTGCACTGTTTTGTCAGACCTTGTTTGATGTTTGTTGTGTTGCAAAGCCCTGAGATAATCTGCTGTTGACTTGTGCGGGCACTCATGTTAATCTGTTATAAGTTCTTGATCAGAACTAAATTGACCAGCCATAACAGCTTCTGTGTAGATGGTTTACGGGTACTTTAATGTGGTTTGCTCCCTCTTTCCTATCCAACAACTATCGTCCTTATCTCCTATCCTTCTTTTCTTTGAATGTTACTCTTTAGTAACACCTCTAATCTTCAGCAAGAACATGATGTATGTGTTGCAAGTGCCTTAAAACTCTTACTAAAACTGAAGAAAAACTGCTTGTGCTTACAGAAATGTGACCTTGTGAGCCTAAGTCCCCTGTGGTACAGGTATATAGCTGTATCCAGAAGTTTTCAGGAACAAGGAATGTCCCAGACTGTTTGTGTCCAGTGTGACAGTTTGTGTTTGGCCTGTTTGTAAGTGAAGGCACCGCAATGTAGATCTTTTGTTTTTATTCTTGTGTCACGGTGGTTGGAGAGCCAGCACTGGTAGAGCCTCCTTCTCTTTCCCCCTTTCGTTGCGGTCTGTCTTTCTCATTCTTTCGTCGTGCTAAATGACTGTGATTGTGTCCATGTGTTTCTCTTAACCCTAACAAGCTGGTAGGTCACTTCTTTCCTTTCCCTCAGTTGTTTCTCTATCTTGATTTTTCCTTGCAGTAAATGACTTTTATTTTGTTGATTGGCTTGGTTTAAAAAAACAAACAAACAACTAAACTTCTTGTTGACCAAGGTTATTGCTGTTGTGTGTGCTGTTGTATTTTTGTTCGGTTCGCACATTTGTTTACAGTTCACACTTTGAGCTGATTTATGATTTGCATATTTCTATTTGTTTTTGATTTTGCTGAAGTTATGTTTTTTCAGTATGAGTGTATTCCTTTTTTTCTGTTTTATGTTCTGTAACACAATGTTTGGGTTTTGGTTTTAGTTTTGTATGATTTTTGTTGTTGCTGTAAAGAATGTTTGTTGTAATGCAGAAACTTCATGTTTCTTTCTGTGAAAAGAATATAGCTAGATGTGCAGAAAGCTACAAATGAAGTCATCAGGTTACATTAATTTTATAACACATGTCCTACTCACAGATGAAAAAAAACTGCTGAAGCTATGTCTTCTTTAGTATAGTCTTCAGTTGTTCATGATTTTCTGATTAATCCACAGGATTGGAGTTTTAGTCCTGTAAAACTTGACTGTGGATAAGCCATTATTTGGATTTGTTCCTGAGTGCACACTGCCTATTGTATTCATTTGAATGAGTCAAGGCCAATGAGAGTTTTCAGCGTGGAGAAGCAAAATCTACCTTTATGAAAAATGTTATTGTGACTCTTATAATCTCAAACATGTTGGGAGTCAGATTGGTCGTAGTGTGCTAAAAAGATAGTTCGATTAGCAGTGTGCACTAGGCATAAGCATAGATGCTTTTAAGAACAAGAAGCGTTTGGAGGGTGCAAGTGGTAGCTCCTACTTTTTTTCCCCTACTTTTGTTTCTGTCTGTCTAATCATACTTTTTCCTTTTCACAAAATTAGTTATTGTGTCTACTTCTCCTAGCTCAAACTCAAGTCAAACAAACTTAATAGCTCTGACATTGTGAAATGTCAGCTTTCCATTCTCTTGGTTGAAAACGCTATTGGCCTTATCAGGCGGATGGGGGGAATGGATATTTTTATGTACTTGTGTGTTTTATGTTTGTCTTTGTGTGTGTGTCCACCTCTACTTGCATGGTACTCATGACTGGATTATTTCAAATTAATGACAATTTACTGATTAATGTGAACCGTTATGGCTACAGAAGCCCTCTTCCTCTTCACATGTTGCTGGGTGATCTGATGTTGTCTGTTCCTTTTACATCTTTCACCTCAATTTTCATAATCTGTTGACAGCTAAATGTTTCTGTTGTTGTTGACTCACTAAGACTATGCACGTTTTTGTTGGGGGTTTTTTGGTAGCCTTTTGTTTTCTTTGTGTGCATAAATAGTATGAAAGCAAGTCTGAGTGAAGGCCCTATCTCACCTGGTTGAATGATTGTAGTAAAGCATATTTGTATCCATACATATATAGTTACCAGGAAGTTGTATCGATGATGTTGATGAAAAACCATGTTCCCCTCACCTGCCCACCCACTCCCCCCCCCTAGCGTTGATTGTCACTGTAGACATTTGCATGATTTGTGTGTTGATTGTTTAATGCCTTGCGCGTAATGTGCATCAGCTGTGTGTTGTACACCACTGACACTAACCTATGTAACTGTGTCAGTCAGACCCACACTGCTAGAATGTCTGTGCACAATCGCGTTGCTTACTGAGACCTCACGTGTATGGCTAAAGGGAATCTATGGTATAATTAATTGTAATTTTTTTTGGTAATATAGATTGCAAAGCGCATAGAGTTTGTTGTTGAGTGGGAATGTGCACCTGAAATAGATTATAATACATATTATTTTTTGGTCCAGCCATTGTAAGGTACATATTGATGAGACACTTTTCAGAAAACTCATTTATATTTTAACAAAAAAATTTTGCACAATGATGTACCATTATTAAAGTTCAATATGAGTTTTGGAAAAACAGGTTTTCTTCTATCAGCTCTGAGAAAAGAGTTAACCTCTAGTTTGTTCTTTATTATCTGTTATTTCTATTGTCATCTTGTCGCTGTCCAGAGGGGGATAATCATTGACCACTAAATTTTAATTGTGTTGGAAAGTGGTACCTGTCGACAGGCAGGGTCTGAAGCCTCTGTCCCAAATGATCCAAATTGTGTCGAGGGGGGCGTTAAAAATGCTTACATTTAGAATTAAAATTTTTAAGGGATATGAAGTTTAGATTCCAGTGTCACTGTGTAAAGTGCATTGAGCTCCTCCCATGAGTGCTCCTTTTGTTGAGGTTATTTTAGCGAGCAGGACTTCCACAGAAATTTGTCACTGATGTGAGGGTTAGATTGTTTTAAGGGGGAGACTTTTTCAGATCTGTGTATCTGTTTCTATTTTTCTCGCTCTGTCTCTGTCTCTCTGTCTCTCTCTGTCTCTGTCTTTCTCTCTCTTGTTCTCTCGTTCTCCCCTCTCTCTCTCTCTGCCCCTGTCTGTCCCCCCTCTCTCTCTCTTTGTCTCTGTACCTCTCTGCCCCCCTCTCTCTAACCCCCTCCCCTCCCCGCACCACCTCCCTCTAACTGTTTCTCCTTCCTGTCTCCCTGTTAATAAATGCATATGTAAAATATACTCAGTAAATACTATGCCAGCTGACACCTCCTGTCTTTTATCCCTCCCTCCACCCCTCAGGTTGGCTAGACATCAGCAGTGCCAGTGGGAAGGGGGAAGCCTTTGGTCCCAGTAGGTATGGCACCAGCCAGTCCTCCCACGATATCCACTGGTCACAGAATGACGCCGAGTCTGTGTCGCGACGCAAGGCCATGTCCTCTCGCTCTCAGGTGAGTCAGTGGGTGGTCGGCGGTTACTCTGATGGGCTTTGAGCCTTATTTCCTATCAAACGTCTGTTGTCCTTATCTCTCCTCCTTTTTTTTTTGTAACTCTCTTTTAACACCTAATCTTTGGCACTTATATGACCTAATTGTGTTGAAAGTGCCATAAAACTCTCGCTAAGGCAAATTAAATCAGGTGAGCCACTCCACTGCAATACAGGCTGCAGTTGTGTTCCTGTCAGTTTCTGATTTTAAATTGCAAATGATTGGAGGATGATACTGGAAAATTTTACTCCTTTTCATTCCCTGTTGTTTGTGTCTTAACTAATGACTCTTGTGTTGCTAGTTCATGTTAATGTCCCTTCGCTTCCTCAGAATTACAAAGTTCTTTCCGCTCAGTGCCTTTTTTCAGAAATTTGACGTCAAAGATTTTGAGTTTCATATCATGTAAAGCTTTTTCGAATGCAATTCTTTGAATATTTTGATAACGACTTCGAATAATTTTACGATTTTTATAGAGGAGATAGAACATTTAATTTTGGTCTCATGGTCTTAGGAACTAGAACATTCAATTTTTTATTTCATGGTCTTAGGATATCAAAATGGCCAAAAAATGTCAGATAGATCTTTGTAATTCTAAGGTAGTGCCTTGTTATCGACTGGGCAAAGAGATTGGCCACTAACCTTACCTATAATTTATGTATGGTCAGAGAATGGTTCAGTTGTGCTTGGGAGGGGATAGAGGATTATGACGGTTCGCATGCCTCACTCATCAGCAGTTGAAAAATTGTCATTGACTGAAACCAGTTGGAGGGATGAGTAACCTCCCCTGCACAACATGCTGGTCAGCAAGCTGTTCATTGACAACAGGTCAATGGATTATGGCGGTTTGTCCACACTGTGGTAGGGGCTGATATATATATAATTTGTGGCAATGCATTGGTTTACAGAAAATTTGCGTGGTTACCTTAGACATTTTTATGGGGCTGTTGGTTGAAGTTAAATATAGCAGTCAAGACCATTGACCATGTCATCTTGGGCGATGTCATATTGAGAAGAAAAAATGCATAGGGGGCGAGGGAGTGAGTAGGAAGTAGTCATCTGTGCAGGTGATTGATTGTCAGGGCAGGTTTGACTGCATTTGATTTGTGTCAGTGTTGGATTTTGTGAAACTGTCCCTGTAACAATTCTTTTGGTTTTTTTAGTTTTTTTTTGTTTTTCAAGTACAACATTGTTTGTAGGTTGTTCACTCTGTTCTCTTTCCAATTTCATGATGAACTTTTACTTGAGTGCCATTGTGGGATATTTGTTCTACGAAAAAGAACAGATTTTCATGTCCGCATGTTGTTTTAACCCCCTTTTTTCAGTCTCAGAGTGCTGCCATGTTCCGCTCTCACCCCGGTCAAGTGACTGCCCCACTCGCCAAGCCAGAGCCTATAGAAATTGCTGACTACTGCCATGTCAAGGTGAGGGGATATTTGGTCTCATTCCTTCCCCACTCTGTTCTGGGTTGTTTTTTTGTGTTTTTTTCCTCAAATATATTCTACCTTTGTGTTCTGTTTTCTTTTGTTTTTACAGTTTTTCTGCTTTTTTGTTTTTTGTTTTCTTTTCTTTTTCGCTTTTTCTATTACTTTGCCCTCACTTTTTCCTTTTATTTTATTGTTTCAGTGTCAGCAGCAAAGTTGTGGCCTTTTTCTTTGCTGCAGCTACTTAGGTTACAATATGGGATCCTAATATTGAGTCTGGAGGTTTGAGCACAAGTTGGCTAAGAATGTGTCTAGTTCTCTGTGTGTGTGTGTGTGGGGGGGGGGGGGGGGGGGCTTTGCTTTGCTTTTTGTATTGATTACTACTCTCTGGACCTGGGCACACCCCTGAGCTAGCCATTCCCAAAGAGTGAACATCAGGATGTTCTTATGCACAGTAGAATTGTAGATGGGCTGATTCATCAATGTCATGCTCATAACTGTGCCTGAACTGCAACAGGGAACTGCTGCTTTTTCTTTCCTAATCCTTACTGTTGTCATTTTACTGTACTTCTTTTGTATGTTTGTCACACTCTTGTGTCCCACTATTTCCGGGATGCCTTGATAGTCGAAGCAGACTTTGTGCTGTCAAAGCTAGAGATGTGAGCAGAGTAAGCCTGATTCTCTGTATGGACTTCTCTGTTGACATCCACCCCTTGGTGCTCATATGACCTTATGCTGTTGCGAGCGCCGTAAAACATCTACTAAAACTACTGAGCATTTTCTCCATACACCTGTCTGTGCAGTGAGGGCTGGCCATTACCTGTGGTAGGATAAATCCATTTTTTAACTCATGGTAGCTCAGGTTCACGGATCCTGCAAGACTCTTGACTACCTTTTTTTTTCCAAGAAATTTTCAACAGTTGTTTGAATTTCTCATGTTTTTAAGAAATGTCTGACCCTAATGTACATATTGTATTGTATTTGGTATTATTTTGTTCAATAACATTGGCAATATTATGAATATTTGTTCTTTCCTGAAATAGTCTGAACATGCCATGGCAACAAAATCAAGTTAACCGATTAAACAAATAAACAAAATAATAGAAAACATCAGAGTGCAATAATGTCCGGGTTATTTACAATGCAGACACTATTTTTTAAAATACCCTTGTAATTGTAGTATGTGTGAATGAGTTACAATGCTATGGAGAAAGGTTCTTATAATGGAAATTACAAAAAAAAAGGAAATCTAATACTCTCTGGCCCTGGTAACTTTTAAAAATGTCGCATTAAGTATTTTAAAAGTCTTCGCTAGAGACTCCACGTTTCAGCCGTAAAACACTTACTCCTTTATGCTCCCTGTGTTGTGACTGTCTTTGATTGTTTCTCTGTCTGTTTGTCTTGCTTTTTCCTTTCACTAAGAGCTATCATGTTCATGTGCTAATCTTTTCCTGATTTTCTGACGCACCTGTTGATAGCTCTCCATGGCTCTGAGCTAAAAGGCAAAAACCCTATAGGTGCTGGATATGCAACAATGATAATAAAAACAGAAACATCAGTGACTACACCTTGGTGGTTGGCGAGTGCTCTGGTGTGGTTTGCCCCGTCTTTCCCACTGTCAAACATCTATTATCTTCATCACTCCTCCTTTTTTATTTGTATATTACTATTTAATAAAACCTCTAATCTTTGGCACTTATATGACCTTATTGTTAGTGCTGTAAATCTGTTACCTTACTTTACTTTATCCGTCCTCTTGTACCTTTAGGGCCTCGAGGGGAGAAAAAGCTTCCTGTCTCTAGCAAGTTTGATGGCCTGGCTGGGTGAGATAATCTGTTACTAAAACTAAAAATTTAAACACGCACACTCAAGGACAGTACAGCAGCAATGACTACAAAAACGACAAAACAACAACAGAGCTAAGCACAACTATAGTTCACTCAAACAAACCTAAGGACAATGGTACCTGGATGCTCGTGTTGGAATTTGCCCACCTGTTGTGTATGGATAATTGCTATTGTTCCCAGGATGCTGTTCCCCTTCTGCCTCTGGGAGACCACGACTACCAGATAGTGGAGGACGCACTGCCCCCTGGTCAGCTGCACCGCATCAGGTCCACAAAGTCGCCCATCAGGGTCAAAGGTAAACTTACTTTGGGTTTAAGTTTACCTCTCTACAGAAGTATGTTCTCATAGAATGGGGCTTGGGGGTCCTCCTACCCTTTTCTGGATGTTCGGTACATGTCCGAAGTTTTAAATAAAAATAAGTGCATTTATGTAGCACATGTCCTTGCTCTGCAGCACACTCTATTACTTTGCAACTATTATTATTCTAGAAGACCCAAAAACTCGATTGAGAAACGTGCTCAGCTTCCAGGGAAGCATTTAGTCTAAGGATGTATTGTTACAGCCTAAGATATTTATAACAAGCCGGCCCTGATCGTATCCAACAGAAACATTACAATGGTAATTGAATGCATACATTTAGTCAGCTCTTTTATAAGGGGTGAGTGCTGAACAATGAACAATATTAAAGGAAAATTAGAAGTAACACTAATGTGGTTCTTAGACAGAATGCTGAAAATATCAAGGACAGAAAAGAAGACAAACCAAGAATTGATGGAAGTGGCAAACATGAAAAGATAACTTAACAGGACAATGAGGAGATATCAAATGAAATTCATTGGGCATTTGTATAGAAAAAAAAAAGGGTTAGAACAACTAGGTATGGCAGAAAAAAATTGAAGGGAAGGAAAGCTGAGGATTCCGAAGCACAAGATTCATAAATAGCGTGAATGCCATGGTGACTTATAAAAAACAACGAACAATAACTTTTTCATTAGGGCATCGAGGAATGGAGAACTATATCCGCCATTGTCTGCTCCAGACCAAACCCTTAATAATGATAAGTATTATTATTACCAATATTGTTACTCTGTTTCTTGTGTTAGGTCGAACAGACTCAGAGGACTCGGAGTTCTCCTCCCTGGAGCGTGAACAGATGCAGAAAAGCCGTCGGTCCACCCCGCACCGACGCAAGTCCAAGCCTCGCCACCAGGACAACAGTGCCATCTATGCCAGTCCCATGCCGTCCAGCGGCAAGCATCGATACTTCGCCTTTGGGGCGAAGGAGAATAAAGGTGAACTATCCGCACCGCATATGCCGGTTTTGTGGACGGTTAGGGGCATGAGTGGGAGGGGGGTGACTCACATATTCTGCTCTTTACAATATTGGGGGGGGGGGGGGGGGGGGGCAATAGGGAAATCTGTTTTCTTTTTTCTGATTGTTTCTGTAAGCTGTATCACTTTCTGTCAGAGCTTACGGGACCATCAAGATGTCTAGAAGCGTCTGAATGACATGACACTCTTTTACCTTGTGGGTGGTTTGTGGGTGTTCTGGTCTTTGTTGAACTATTCAGTGCCACTGCTATTGTAGCCTGCTTCAAAAATGAGTCTTGCTCCGTTGTCATGAATGTGTTAAGCCTGTGGGAGGTTGGGCAGAGGGCGCCTCTGCTAGGTCGTATTTCTTTTTGCTTTGTGTCGTTTTTTTGTTTCTGTCTGTCAGTTTACCTTGGACTAAATGACAGTCATCGTTTTGATGTATTTCTCTCAAAGTAAATGAAGAATATGGTTAGTCAATGAAAACAAGACAATGGGTGGCTGGAGGATGCTGCTGATAGGTCCTACTTCTTTTCTCTTTCTCTGTTGTTTCTGTCTATCTGTCCTACTTATTAACCAATGTTGAACAACTGTTATTTCTCAAATAAAATTGAGGTTCCTTCCTTTCTTTTTTTCGGTGTCTTTTCTGTGTTGTTGTTTTGTTTTTTTCTCTCTTCGTCAGTTTAAATTGTACCTGAAATATTTGCTGGTTGTTTCATATTCTTCGAATTATACTAAATTTTGCTCTGTTGTGTGAATCGCTGTCCTTAGGCTTCAACCCTAGAACTACTCCCCGGGGCAGTGCTACTGACTGAAGTGTCTTTAGGTCATTCCCAAAGGGGGGACATTGATATGTTCTTATACACAGTAGAATTGTAAATGGGCTGATTCATCGATATCATGCTCATAACTGTGATGCCTGAACTGCAACAGGGAACTGCTGCTTTTTCTTTCCTAATCCTTACAATCGTCATTTTTCTGTTACTTCTTTTGTATGTTTATCACACTCTTGTGACCCGGTATTACTGGGATGCCTTGATAGTCGAAGCAGACTTTGTGCTGTTGAAGCTAGAGAGGTGAGCAGAGTAAGCCTGATTCCCTACATGGACTTCTCTGTTGACATATCTATTGCCCTTATCGCTCCTCCTTTTTTTCATGTTACTTTGTAGTAACCTATCTAATCTTCAGCACTTCTATGACCTAATTTGTGGGTGGTTGGCGTGTGCCCTGGTGTGGTTTGCTCCTTCTTTCCTATGAAATGACTATTGTCCTGATCTTTCCTTCTTTTTTGTGTTTGTTACTCTCTTGTAACACCTGTAATCTTCGGCATTGTATGACCTTATTGTGTTGCAAGTGCTGTAAAACTTTTACCAAAACTAAAAAACTATGACCTAATTGTGTTGCAAATGCCGTAAAACACATACTAAAACTAGACGAACTCTTCTCTCCGATTCCCCCCACCCCCTAGGCCGGAGCCACTCGCCGTCAGAGGGCAGTGACGGGACCGGGGACGAGCTGCTGGCCATGAAGAAGAAGGGCAAGAAGAGGCGGTCCTTCAACCACCGCAAGTGGAGGACGCCCTTGTCAGCCCAGGGTCACCGAGCCTCCAGTCCCTCTATGTTGTCCGATGAGGTCCAGCTGTTGAGCTCATCACAAGGTGAGACACTGTCTTCCTGAAAAAAGTTTAGTTAGCGGGGGGTTGGTGGCTGCTCTGATGGTTTTCTCCTTCTTTCCTGTCAAACATCTGTCGTCCTAATCTCTCCTCCTCCTCCTTTTTTGTGTTGGTTACTCTCTTGTAACACCTCTAATCTCCGGCACTTATATGACCTTATTGTGTTGCAGGTGCTGTAAAAACTCTTACTAAAACAAACTTTGCTTAATCAAAGTTACTTTGTCTCAGGCGGTCTCCTTTGTGCGAGGACGGTCGGGATCTCAATCAGCTGAAAGTGGCCTTACACACATGGTCCATGCACATCCAGGGGCTAGACTGTCTATGTGACCAACGTGCGGGTAGTCGTGTCATCAAGCACAAGACACAATTTTAACTTAAGGGGGTGGGGGGGCGGCGGCTGAAGTAGATTGGTACCCAAGGAAGAAGATTGACATTATATTGACATTATACAAAAGGTTTTTGATAAAAGAGGGTGTCAATCAAATATTGCCATTGTCCCCCCCCCCCCCCCCCCCCCCCCAATTTTTTATTTTTTTTAAAATTGGAGTAAAACCACCATGTTAGCTTGATTTACAGTGTGTGTCTCTGGGTCACGAAACCGATAGAGGTGGGATTGTCTCCATTTCCATAGTATGAAGTGATACGGGTGGTTCTGAATCTCCTCTAGGAGGATTTTGGTTTTTCGTTGTACATTTGATTTGTCACTTCTACTCTTGATTTGTGTCTTGTGAGATTCATTAGAATCTTTGTCAAGTTTGGCTTCAATGTGCAGGAGCATTAGAGAAGTGAAACTTAGCTTTGAATGTCTGGTTTGAATGAATGTGTTATCATGATATGTCTTTTCTCTTCTTTTTCAGTTCACTCATTAGAAGACATGTCATATTATAATCCTGTGGTCCATCATTTTCAAACACTACCAAAGGTGAGTAGGATTTCCTACCTCTCTTGATATGTCTGTCTTGTCTGTCCATCTGTCTGCCCGTCTGTCTGTCTGTCTCTCTGTCTGTCTCTCTCTCCCTCTCTCTTTTCTCCCTCTCCCTCTCTCTCTCCCTCTCTCTCTCCCTCTCTCTCTCTCTCTCTCTCTCTCTCTCTCTCTCTCTCTCTCTCTCTCTCTGTGCCTCTCTCTCTTTCTCTCTCTCTCTCTCTTTCTCTCCCCCTCTCTCTCTCTCCACCCAGTGAAGAACCCCCCCTCTCCCACCAAAAAAATTTAATTAATAAATAAGCCGCCACCCCATCCTCCCAACAACTCCACGTATTATCTTTCAGAGGACCCTATCAGCCTGCCAGGTTTCTACTCCTTATAATCAACTTACAGACAGACTTATATGATGTTATATTCTGATGGAACTTACTACAGGAATGTTGCATTGTCGTTGAAATACCATGAGAACCACATTTTTTCCCCACGTCAGTTAAAATATGAAATTCAACCTGTTGGATACAGAAGAGCAGGCATAAAAGTGGTAGATGTATTACTCTTTTGGGAAAAACATAATAGCGACGAATTAAATGTTAATTCAGTCTTGGACATGTCAAACTTCTTTTATTTCTGCTGTTCCTTTTGACATGTCAAACTGTTCTGTAATTTCCTGCTGGTCATCTAGAGATGTCAAATTGTTGCTATTATTTCTAGAATAATCTAAATTGCGTCGATGGGGGCTCACAATCTCTACATTTTCACTTCAGAACGTGGGCACGAGCTCGGGGGCGGGGGAAGAAGCAGAGTTTGACCCTAACGACAGCAACAACTGGAGCAACAGATTCCTCTTCAAGACCATGAAAGACCCGGAGAAGCAGAGGAAGAAAGACGAGAGGAGGAAGCAGAAAGAGGAAGTAAGTAGATTCCAACAAACCTTTGATTTCTTCATTTTTATAGGTAGCAGGGTGCTATTATTAGGTTCCACATCTTTTCTTCCCCGCTGTTTGATAGGGAGAGGTTTGTTTGTTTGGGGTTCTTTTTTTGGTATGTTACGGCAGGGAATAGGAAGTCACTGACATCATAGTTCTCTCCCCGCCCCGTTGTCTCTGTCTCTGATGGGCGTTAGTAGGGTGGGTGGTTGGCGGGTGCTCTTGATGTGGTCTGCTCCTTCTTTCCTAACAAGCACCTATCTCTCCTCCATCTTTTTTTGTGTTTGTTACTCTCTTGTAACTTCTCAAATCTTCGACACTTGTATGACCTAATTGTGTTGTGATTGTATGCTACCTATATGTTCTATGACTCAAGATATTTTTATAGTGGGAAAGGGGGGGGGGGGAGGCAATTTAAATCGTGGCTCTTTTGTATCCAGTATGTGAGGGACAGAACCAAGTCTTGGAACATTGTTTGCTCAGTTGGTATCACACTAGGCTATGGTAGTGATGATGATAGGATGTTCTTGAATCAGGATTAAATGACAAATTTTAAAAGCACTCCACCCACTAGGGCATTAAAACAATTCACTCCTTGAAATTGAAAAGCAGAATATTGCCCGTCTCACACACTCTCATAGCGATGTTTATGGAAAAGAAAACACAAGGGGGTAAATGGGAAGTGGCTGTCTATATGAAGGGCGCTACTCTGTGGCGACCGGGTGTGTTCACTGTGGTGGAACACCAAACCAATGTGCCAGGATCTGGACAATAAAGATGTATCTTATCTTATCTTATCTTATCTTATCTTATAGGTGATTGTCTTATACTGGTGGCTGTTAGGCGCTGGTTCGACTATTTTTACTGTTACATATTAACCTTGTCCAATGTTTTTAAATAAAGGAGGCTTGAGAATTCATTTTACTCTGCATCCGACTCGAACCTGGTGCCCAGCAGAGTAATAAGAGGTTGGAATGTGTTTAGTGTGCTGTAGCACAGCTGAGGGTACAGCAGTGGGGGTGACCCGATTCCAGAGACTGTTTAGCATTTTTGTAGCTTAATATAAATAATTTTATTTTTTCCTCTTTTAAAAAAATGTTTTTTAACTGACTGGCCTTTATTTTTTGGGGGGTTTTTTGTTTGTTTTTTTGTTGTTGTTCTGTTTTCGGGGTTTTTTGTTTGTTTTTTTGTTGTTGTTCTGTTTTCGGGGTTTTTTGTTTGTTTTCGTTTTGTTTTGTTTTGTTTTTGTTTATGCCATATTTGGGTATAAATGTATCATCAGAAGATTGTGTCTATTTTGTTTGGTCTTTTCAAACGGTGCTGCGACTGGCAAGTACAACTGTTTGACTTTGATTTGGTTGAATGGTCAGCATACCATGTATCAAAATTTGAAAGGCTACCCTCCCCCCCCCAATTGTTTTAAGTGTTTACGGATATAAACGGTTGTTGAATTGTTCTGTATGAGTAGAGAGAAACCTGTCAACCCAGATGTTCCTGTCATTTAGTTTTGGAATAGAGCAAAACAGAAAGCAATAGTAGAAATGAAAGAAAAGAAGTCGGACCTACCAGTTATAGAGTTGCCATCAGCATGGTGCTGTATAGTACAGACAGTACAAACTTATCAAAGTCAAGCAGATGGGTGGTTAGCAGGTGCGCTAGTGTGGTTTGCCCCTTCTTTTCCTATAAAACGTCTATCAACCTTATCTCTCCTCTTTCTTTTTTGTGTTTGTTATTTTGTGTTACTCTCTTGTAACACCTCTAATCGTCGAGCGGGTGGTTGGCGGGTGTTCTGGTGTGGTTTGCTCTGCCTTTCAAACTACTATTGTCTTTTTCTCTCCTCCTCCTTTTTTATGTTTGTTGCTCTCTTGTAACACCTATCTTCGACACTTATATGACCTAATTGTGTCGCAAGTGCCGTAAAACGCTTACTAAAACTAGAAACTAATCTTCAACACTTATATGACCTAATTGTGTTTCAAGTGCAGTGAAACACTGACTAAAAAAAACAAAGCAAAGTCAAGCAGTTCTACCATAGACACCCTCCAACCACCCGCCCTTTGTTGAACTAGACATTGTGTAGTATATAATTTTATGGTGTCTTGTTGCGTGTGGTAGGAGGGTGCCACTGGTAGGTCCTGTTTCTTTACTTTCCCTCTGTTGTTTCTGACTCTTAATTCTTTCCAAGCGTTATATGACCATTATCGTGTGGATGTGCTTCCTTTTACTCAAACAAACAAACAAACAAAAGTGTCTTGTTGTCATTGCCGCTGATGTGTCTGTTCTTTGTATAATCCTCCCAACTCTTTCCCGTCTGCACTGATGCGTTATATGATTTCATACGTATTGTCTTTTAGTGGGCTGCCTTGAAATGGTCTGCGAGGAAGAACTAAATTACAGTGTATTTGTTCATAACAGATCACATTTATGTGCATATTATTATTTTCGTTAGTAAATTATAGGCGCTCGATTTGCCGGAGGAAACTGTTTGATGAATATGATTTACCCTGTGTGTTACGTTGTTTATATGATGTTCTTGAGAATTCTATCATATCTGAAATGTATTTTTCCCTCCAATTATTATTATTATTTGTGGATTGATTAACCAAGTGACTGATTTCTTTTTTTTCTTTCTTTTTCTTTTATTTTTTTGTGTGGGGGAAGGGTGGAAAACTGAAAAAAGGGGAGGGGGGGGAGGGGGGTGAGAATGTGAAAAGTGTTCTTAGTTTGTTGCTGTTTGGAGCTACAGTGGGGGATGTCATTATTGTAATCGAGGTGTGAGTGGATGTGTCAATGTGTGAGGGCTCTTAGGGGCGGCAAGGTTGTGTTGGAAGACTGTCTTAGGGTAACCGCATCGATTGGAGTGTCGTGTTGGAGCTTGTAGTATTAGCGTGGATAAGGGGATGTAAGAGAGACAGTGGGGTG